CCTCCACCCCACCCCACACGCCCCCATCTCCAGCCAACCTCGCATTCTGTCTCCAGCCAGCTCCTCACCCCCTGCCCTGCCCGCAGCCAGCCCCGCACCCCCTGCCTCCAGCTAGCCCTGCCCCATGCCCCTGTCTGCAGTCGGCCCCACGTCCACTGGTGTCCTGCAGTTCCCAGGGCAGGAACCCTGCACGCCTGCTTCAATGAGGGGGGCAGGGAGCAGCTGGGACCCACACATGTGAAACAGAACTCATTTCTAGTTCAGGCCCATCTTTTTAAAAAAGAACTTTAGATAGGGTTACCATACATCCGTGGACATGTCAGGCTTTTTGGTGCTTAAATTGCCATCCAGGAGGAATTTTCTACATTTTAAAAATTCCTCCCAGGAAAATATGGACATATTTAAATATCTAAAAACATCCAAGAGGGCAGCTGCAACAGCAAAGGTCCCCCCCATGGAGTGTCCTCTTTTTTGAATGTTCAAATATGGTAACACTACAGACGGCACACACTACACAGACAGTGCTCACCACTCCCAGTAAGACAGATGAACTTTTCTTCATGGCCAGTCAGGATCAGGTCCATCTGGGAGACTCCAGTTGCTACCCGGTGTCATTGGCAGAGCGTTGAGGTCCGGCAGCTCTGATCTCTGGGGCTGTGTCCTGAAGTTGGTTCCCAAAGAACTTCCTTTTGGACCCCAGTTTATATGGTGAAACTCGAACCCTGCTTAGCTATATCTTAACCAATCAGTATACTCAAATTTTACTAACCAATCCTAACATAGTGTAACAAAATTCTCTAACCAATCCTACCCCACCACCTTAATTAATTTACACCTGGCAAAATTAATTATGTAACAGACAGAAACTATTAAAGAACCAGACCGAGACCATTACAGACAAACAATAGGGAAGTGGAGACCATAATGACAAACCAATCAAGCAATGAGGGTTTCACAACCACAACTATTGAGAAGTGATTTCTTGCCAGACAGGATGTTATCAAACCAAGTTTTCTTTAACCATCTTAAGATCTGTTTCTTTCTCTGGTGATAGTGGGGGCCACCCCTCTGCCCCGTGGGTGCTCGAATCCCCACCCCTACCCCACCCTTGCCCTGCCCCAATTCCACCCCCTTCCCCCAAGTCCCCACCATGGCCCTGCCTCTTTACTGCCTCCTCCCCTGAGCGTGCCATGTCCCCACTCCTCTCCCTCCCTCCTGGAAAGTCCTAAGTGCCGCCAAACAGCTGGTGGGGGGGGGAAGCTTGGCTGCTGGTGAGTGGGGACTATGCTGCCAACCCTGATTCTGTGAGGGGGGAGCCCATCCCCATCCCCCTGTCCCGCTCACCCCCATTCCCCTTCCACCTCCTCCTCCTCTCCAGTCTCCCCTCAAACTCCCGTCCTGTCACCCCTCCAGCACGCACCCACCTGCCCCGTCTCTCTCCCCTCAAATTCCTCTCCCCACTCCCTCCCTGATCTCAGCCAGTCTCACCTCTAATCCCTTCCCCCCGCACTAGGCCTGTCCCCCCAAACTCCGGTAGCCCGGCTGCTCTTTGCAGAGGGTCTCACTGGCCCAGAGGGTCTAAGGGGTTTGTAATCTCTCTCCCTTGCCAGCGTTACACAGGCTGTTTCAAACCAAGCCCCTGGTCCTACTTGGCTCCTGGGCAAACCGCCAGCAGCAGCCGTTCAAAGGCAAAGCTTTCGGGTTAAACCCCTGGACAAGGAATCAAACCCGGCCTGTCTATTGAAATGGGGTTAGGGTTAGGGTTAGCAGCCAACGGCTGGAGTCAGACTGGCTCCAAGTCTCGCTCCTTTGGGAATCACCGGAGCAGAGCTGCTTGTTTCCAGAACAGCTGGGCTTTGGGGGGAGGAACCGATTCATTTCACTCTCCAGACGGATGGGCAGGGCGGCCGCTGACCCCGCTCCTAGTGTAAGCGGGGGAATGGACCCGCTATTGTGGGGAACTTTCCTGGCTTATACACGCCCCGGTGGGATTGGCGAGTGAAAGGATCTGAGTCCTCGCTCCCACTCCCTTTACCCAGAGACCTGCCTGACCTCGAGGGCTCCCCTTCCTCCCTCCCATGGAGATTGCTTGACCAATGGGGACTGCCTGATCTCCAGGTCACAGCAAAGATCTTTCCAGGAAGCTGGAAGAAAATATAAAAGAGGGGAAGGGACATAATCCCTGGGCTTCTCTTCCCCACAACTCAACATCTGGAGGAAAATCTGGAGGACTCTGAACTGGGGAAGGGTGGTCCCAGGCTGGAATGGAGTCCAGTCTGTGCATTGAGAATCTATAACCTGCTTGTACCATGTGTCAGGGGGAGACACTGCCTGATTCAAACCCTGTTTCATTTGTAGAACTTAGACTGCGAATATATTTTTATTTCTTAAGTAGCCAACTCTGATCTCTGCGCCTGCTCCTTATAACCACTTATAATCTCTCCTTCTGCAGTTAATAAACCTGTTTTATATTTGACCTAAACCAGTGTGTTTTGGTTGAAGTCCTTGGGAAATCTCAGCTCAGTTTACAAAGGCTAGTGCGTGTCCAGTCCACACTGAGGGAGGGGGGAACTTAATGAACTGACACCGGACTGGCTTCTGACCAGTGCAGGATGGTACCAGTCTGGGGTGCAAGGTTGGGGAGCTGGGGAGAATTGGCTGGAGCCGCCCTATTGATGGTACCTGAGTGGCTGGGAGATCATTGGTGTAACACAGCTGGGTGGGTCCCTGCCTGTGGCTGGCTGTGTGAGTGCAGAGCCTCTCCCAGGTTCTTAACTTGACATCAGCATCACAGTGTCAGAGGCAGCCTGAGGGTTCAGCGGCCCCACAGGCCGGGTTGCACCCCGGGGACCCTGTCACACACAGGTCAGACACTTGCTCTGGTGGTGGCCACACCCCCTCAGGTGATATTCAGTGGCGTA